CTCCCCCCCTATGCCATCAGTGCTTCCATCATTAACTTTATTGTTACTGATGTTCAGCTAAAATTGAAATTAATTAATATTGTATTTATCATATAACTTCTTTTTTAATTTCTTCTTCTTTCAGATATTCACTAGATATGAAAAGCACAGGCGCCTTCTTTTGGATGATATTTTAGCATCAATTGCGCGATTACCATGTAGCAAACGAAGTTTACGAACATATCGTCTCAACTCTGAAGAACACATTCAGATGCTAACTGCTCTTGTACTACAATTAATTCAGTGTGTTGTGGTTTTGCCAGAGCGCTTGCAAACTGAAAAGAAGGAAAAAGTGAAGGAAGAAAAAGATGTACCTGTGAAAGAGAAAGAAAATGAAGAAGAAAATAAGGAGAAAGTAGTTAATGTAAGATTATGCAGCAAACATCACTTTTTCTTAATTTTAACTTGATTTTTTCATCCATTTCTCCTTTGCCAACTGTCTTGTGCTTATTATTATCTGGTCAACACCAATTCTGTTCAATATTGTTTTAGGTGGATCGTGATGTGCTAATTATTAGCAAGTACGAAACTGCTATGAGAACAGCTGCAAACTTCCTGACAGTTTTTCTCAATAAATGTGGTAGTAAAAGTGAAGAAATAGATTATAGACCTTTATTTGAAAATTTTGTTCAAGATCTTTTAACAACTGTAAATAAACCAGAGTGGCCTGCTGCGGAACTTCTGCTGAGTCTCCTAGGAAAGCTCCTGGTAAGTATCGCATGTGGGTCCTTCTTACAACTTTTATCTTTCAATTGTTTTACAAACACTTCAAAGGTCATCAAAAGCGAGAATGTTAATTAATTCAATTTCTATTTGATTTGAACAATGAGGTTGTTCTTTTTCCTACAGTTTTTCCTCTCTCTTTCACTACATCTTACCTTCAAACATTTTATAACCTTTATACTTTTGCTCTCCTTTTTCTTCTTCCAACTATATTTTCTTAACTGTTTAATCTTTTGTTTTTCTGGTATTTCTATGCTTGTACTTTTCTATTTCACTCTTTTTCACTGTTTTCAGTGAGTTCGCATACAGGAAGTGATTTCTTATACTTACGCTTACCTTCTTCTCATGCAATTTACCTTGGGCTTGCAAGGTATCATTTATAAGAATTAATTTTCTCATCTAAAACTAGCATATTACATTTTTCAAATTGAGGTTCGGTTTTCATTCTGGTAAACTCTTGAACCATTTCAACGAAATTTGTTTGGTTATAAAAATTTGTATTTGAAATGACACTAAAATGAATGATATTTGTTAGAAAACAGTCCACTATTATTTTAATCCAGGTACACTGATAAATTTGTGGCTGCTGGTATTTCTGCAAGCTGAGCCCTATTATGATCATGTGCAAGTTTTACACCAGTTCTATACTTCCTCATATACAGTAAAATATTAGTATTATAGAGGGCTTCGGTAATTGTTTTATTATAGTGATATTTTGTTATATTGAAGAATGTCAGCATCAAATTTTTGTATTATTGTGTTGTTAAGATGTTTAAGAGAATAGTGCAGGTCTCATTTTCGTTGACATCCCAATTTTTCAAAAAGTGTAAATAATTTTTGTAACTTCAAATTTGGAGCTAAAGATGTTTGTTTAAGACCAAGTCTATTGTACAATATTAGCTCTTTAAGAAAGAATTACACTTTTTTAACAAGTAGTTTTGCATTATTTCCCATTGAAATATACTTTCTTTTTTTAACTACCCAAAATTTCTCAACAACTCAAAACTACTCAAAAAGGCCCATTTTCGGGTATTGCTCTTTTTTTAGTAATTTAAAACTACCAAATTGAAGATAGAGATAATTGTATCAGACAAAATTTGTTGTACAAAATTAGTTCTTCAAGAAGGTTATGTTCATTTTTATGGGAAAGAAAACAAACAGTATTTGCATATTTTGCAATTGAATTTTTTTTAAAAACTTCTCAAAAACGCTCTAATTTTTTCTTAAATTTTTTTCTACATATGTAATAAGGAGCTGTGAGAGATATGGTGCTAGTCTCATTTTTGGGTACTTCTTTCTTTTCTTTCTTTTTTTCCCCTTTCTTTTTTTCCTTTCTTTTCTTTCTTTTTTTCCTTTCTTTTCTTTCTTTTTTTCCTTTCTTTTCTTTCTTTTTTCCTTTCTTTTCTTTCTTTTTTTCCCTTTTCTTTCTTTTTTTTCCCTTTTCTTTCTTTTTTTTCCCTTTCTTTTCTTTTTTTCCTTTTCTTTCTTTTTTTTCCCCTTTCTTTTCTTTCTTTTCTTTTCGAATTGCAAAAAAACATTTCAAAACTACACAATTGAAGATAAAGAATTTTGTTTCAGCAAAGTCTGTTGTACAAAATAAGCTCTTTAGAAAGGCCATGTACAATTTTAACGCACAAAATGCAATACTTCAATATTACGTAGCTGTTTCCTATAACATGAGAAAGTATGTGCTGTTGTAGCACCAGTAGTTTTGTCCATGTTACTGGATTGGTATTTTTCTTTCAAGCAATCTACAAACATTAACTGAAATTAGCCCAATTAGGTTTGCTCTCCTGAAAATAGGATTTAAATGTAATATGAAAGCAAAATTGAAAACATAAACACCATATTATGTACAAACTTAGGCAATATTGATTTTTTAAACAATTTTATTCCCAAAAACATCTCCATCTTTTTCCTTTATTTTTATCCAAGTATGTAGCAAGAAAGACAAAGAAATGTGAGCTAGTCCCATTTTCGGTGACCCCTCTATATTTTTGGAAATTGGAAACAACTACAACAACAAAATTAATATTTTGGAAGTAAAATTTTTATGATAAGATTTTTTTTGTTAAGTGAAATCTGTTTTAATTAAATAATTTCTTTAAAAAAGGTCATGTACATTTTTTTTACATATGAGTAGTTAAACATAATTTTGCCAATTTTAATTTCCCATGCTCCAGTGGCTAGCCTTCAGGTAATATTAAAGTGGAATGCAACAATGGCATTCTGCCCCACGAGACAGTGTTGTAGTTCTGTGTATTCTGTCTCAATGTTGACTGTATGAAACGCAGTTTTAATTGTCGAATATGTGTTGATATTTGCTTCAAAATAATTAGTTTTTGCAGTTAATTTTCTGTGATTTGTAATGTTTTACAAAATAATGATGACAGATGTGTTAATTTGGACGAAACTAGTGTATAATAGTATATTACGTAACCATTACGAAGGGCTGAGAAAGTATGTGCAGTTTTAGCTCCACTAGTTTAAAAATTGCACAATGTTTCGAATCCTAATGGTTTGGATTCTTCTTGAAGTATATATTCTATAATATATGTAAAAAATGCTCATTATACTTAAAATATTATTTACAGAAGTTACTACAAAATTATCATTGACAGCTCACCATTTATTCCAGTTTTTCAATACCTAATGTCAATAGATGGGGGATATGTTAGGTGTGAAATTCTCCACCACCAGTTTCCATGACATCCATTTAACCCTTAAATAGTCATGGGGTCAATTGATACACCAACTTACTATAAATTACTGTTTTTCTACTTTGTAATTGCTGCCTTTGATTACCTTCCTAGAAATCTATCAGTCCTTCCTGCTTTAGATTACAAGTGTAGCTGATACAGTTAGTGAAGATACAGGTTTTTTTTTTTTTTTCCTTTTTTTTTTTTTCTTTTTTTTTTTTTTTTCTTTTTTTCCCCCACTCAATTTCAACGTATACTTTCAACGATCTATCATTGTGATTTCAAATGGAATATCAATGTATTCCCAGTCCCATTTTCACTGAACTGTGTATTTCAAAAATTGCAAAAAATTAACATTGCAAAACTGCAATGTGAATGAGAGAGGTATTTCTTAAATATAATCTGTTCTAAAAATTAGATCTTTGAGAATGTCTTGTACAGTTTTTTGAAAAAGGAGTTGTTTTGCCTAATTTTTTATTAAAGTTAATGCAATACAAATATGTGCACGAAGAAGAAGAAAAAGAACGATAATTATAATGACAATAATAATAAGTATAATACTAATAACAACAATAATAAGAAACTTAGATATACATTTTTAAAAACTTCATATAGTTATAACTATTGAATTCGTATGTAGAAAGTCTTGTTGGTGTTATTTTGAATATTTTTAATTAATTTTAGCATTTTATTGTGTGCATGTTTATACATATAACACAGTTTTTTAATTCGGTGTTCATTTCATTAAAAACTTGAGGGCTAACAATCTTACGATTTCTTTTTGGGATTTCGTTACTCATTTTGGTATTGTTACATGGCTTTGGTTTAGCTCATTACATTCTTGAAGTAGTTTTTAAAAATTCTTGTTGTAATGTCATAGAAGATATTCATTGCTTTCACTGCTACAGTCTTGTTCAGGTTGTTTCTCTAAAAACTTTTGCCTCTTTCTCACGTTTTACACAAATCCCTAATCTCATTTGAAGCTAGTTCTAATTTTTTCTTTTCCCCTTCCTATACGTAGGCAGGTATTACACTGTAAAAGAAATTTGTCATAATTATATCTTTGATAAAGAACTTTGTGGAAGTTCAATGAACTTTGACAAAGAAACTTGACAAATGTATTAAGTTTTGACCAACATTTTATGTAGATTTGCTCGTGTGTGAAAAGGGATGACACATAATAGTAGTGTTTGTGCTACTTTATGCTTAATAATAACTAATCTATGTTTAATGCTGAAAACATAAAAGGTAAAGAGGACATGCTTGAGAATGAAGCTATAGAATAATGCCTGCTAATTCATCAATGGTGCTATGGGTAGCATGTGAAACCTTAATTAAAGAACTTCAAAATGAAGAATTATATGAGGATGGATGCGGAAACGTTCAATTTTCTTTGTCGTTCTTCTTCCTTCTTTCAAAATTTGGTCCATTGGTTTTTAAGTTTAAAAAAAGTAACTTCATGAATTGGGCATTTTTAAAACCTCACATTTTTCACGTCTCAGGAAAATGTCTCCTTCATGTCAGTTCGTTTGGTATTATTCTTGTTGTCCAGATGGGCATTATATAAACATTCAAATTGCTCATACTCTGCAATTAAAACTTTGGTTGAAGCAATACCCCGTGTATATTATAGCCCTATTTAGTAGAGGAGGCTATGAAATGTTTTGGACGCCATGTTACCAAGTGTATGATAAACATGGATGTTTCAGGCTACATTTTATAAAAGAAAAAAATATTAGCCATTACACTATCATATTTTCATTTATGAAAGTTCTTTGACAAAGATCTTTTAAATTATAATACTGGGCATATGAGATGCCAACTAAAACTTGAATGTTGGAAAAGATTGCAATACACACAATTACGCTGCGAGGAAGGAGGGAGAAGAGTGTTTTCAATTGTGAATTCATGACACTTGGCAATTCTGCTCATATTGCAAAGCATAATTTTTTTATTGCGTTAAAATTCCTTCAAAATTGTTTCTTGTCTTGTACAACATTCACAGACAGGGTTCCTTGCAGTCCAAAATCCTATTATCTTTATTCTATTATTGAGTGTATGTTGCTCAGTGTTAGAATATAGAATTAATTTGTTATAATACAAACACAGAGATACAACAATTTACTTTTGACATTACTAATTACATGCAAATGATAAACAAAGCATCCCACCAACATTGGACTCTCCCCAATATCTTCTAAGCAGTTTAAAGAATCGAAATGCTGTTTTTGTTTGACAATACTGAACTGCGAGGCAAGTAACGTACCAAAGATATGTTCACCCTATTTATTCATGTCATGTTTCTCTCAAAACCCCTATATTAAATAAGAACCATGCTAAAATTGTTTTTAGTGATACTAATGGTGTTTGTTTATAAAGGAGAATTTACCTTTGTCTATTCTTTGTGTTCTGGTTTGTACTTTGTTTGTGATCACATCTACAAACTTTTCCACTTTTATTTTTTATGAAGTGTTTTTCTGACTTTTTTTTAGGTTACAAATTTCAGCAACAAGGGAATAGATATGTCTTTGAGAGTTGCCTCTCTTGATTATTTGGGTGTAGTAGCAGCAAGACTGAGGAAAGATGCTGTAATTTCTCAATTGAAGTTAAACACAATAGACCAAATAATTCAAGAGATAAAAGCTGAAGAGCAGAGAGAAATTGAAGAAAGTGGATCAACAGACAAGAAAATTAAATTGGTATGCTTTTTCTCTTTGTGTTTTCTGCAATTTCTATTTACAGAATTTTCACTCTCTTTAGACTAAGTCTTTTGGAGAACTTGTCACTTAATAATATTTACTGATGTCTATATTCAAATCTGTCACTTTTCATATTTTAAAAATAATATAATCTAAATGTATTTACAAATAAATCCATTTGTTACCTAGTCATTTCCATCCTTCATCTATGGAAATTATGTTGAAAGAGAGAATTATGTTTAGACATCATCAGGAGTGGAAAACTCTTAACAAGTGTGTTTTGTTAAAAAAAGAACAAATGTTTCTGTGTACAATCAAACTTCAGAAGGAGACTGTAAGAAAATCAAAAATGATTTACATAACTTTATTTTATTGATAATTTCCAAAAAAAACTAATATGAGTCAAAAATTACTGATTGTGCTAGTTGTATCACTAGTAGTTGTGCTAGTTGTATGGTGACTTAAGTCTTGTCAGTTGTCGGTATTCTAAATCTTTCTCATATTAATATTATTATTTTACTTTCTCACCTACTTCATGTTTACATAGTAAAAGGAATGTATTGTAATGCAGCAGATGTGGCTAGTGTTTCAACAGAAAACTCCTATTGTGGATACATGACACCAAAAAGATTGATAAATCTTGCCTAAATTACTTCCTGTAATGCGTTGTGTAGACAGAATTCACATTTTATGACTGATAAGAAATTAGCTTATTGCAAAACATCTGTCCGTCCATCCCTCTGGGGACAACATTAGCACCTAAACCATTAAGAGTATTTTCTCCAAATTTGACATTCCTTTGTCAATATGACCGAACTGGAGGCCGTATTAGTTTGAAACAGATGTCGTGATTTTTGATGGAGTTAGCCTCGATGATCTTTCAAAACTTAAATTTGTAAAACTGCTCCAATTTTTTTTTTAAATTTTTGACGTGAATAGAGCAAAGCATACTTATAAAAATGACTCAAGTCCCTTTTTGTGAAACTCAGTTTTGAAAATGGCATAAGCTTAAAGTTTTCCTGACATGTTCCTATAACTAAGATATTGTAGGTAGAATTTTTTCTGTTAATGAAATTTGTTGTTCAAAATAAAGTCATGTAATATATCTTTAATTTCCATAAATTGTGATGCAAGTGTTAAATTTTTTTTTTTGAAGCATCAGGAATGTTGTTTTACCTCAAAGGCTGGTGGTAATACAAGATAACTAAAAGGACAGCTGTAAAACCATGGGAAGATTTTGTGAAATATTGTTTTAATTATTTACAACTAGATGAAACATACCTGAATATTCATACAACCATCAAAATACATCTTGGGTTTAGGAGTGCACAACAAATATTTAACAATACACATGAATTAACATTATGGCCTGCTTATTCTGGTCATAAAAATTGGTATATTTCTCTGACGGTGGTAAATACAAAAACAAAAATCATTTTATTTAGATATCCTACCATAAACTATATTTTGAACAACATTAGAGTATGGCAGGTTTTTGCATCACGTCTTAGCAAACAAGTCTGCGATATCATGGGGAATACTTCCAAGCTGTCTCTAACCGTTTAGTTTGCAGCAACCAGATTGTGAAATGCCATGATGTTCAAATTATACAAAGGAAATATTAAGGGAATTACGTAGCATGTTTGAAACAAGGAAATTCCAAAACATAATTTTAATATTTTAGAGGAAAGATCCTAGTCAGAAACCTAAAAGCGCTTAAGCCTTTCATTATTTTATGCCACTATCAGTAAGCATGATAAAATACCACATTCTCGTAGTCATTATCGTTGTGATGTCATCTGAAAGTTAACTTAATCAAGTTCAAAGATTCACCATTGACACGTCAAATTATTAATTCATTCTGTTTTTGGTGATTTTGTAATACTTTGTATTTAATTTTGTATTAGAATGTTAAATTTATGATGGACTTCATTTATTTGTAAATAAATGTGAATGGTAAAGTAATATTCAAAATTATTTATTACACAGCTAATATGTTTATTTACAAGTTAATAAGTTATTATTAATATTGTAAAGCAAGGTAGATTTGAGTTCAAAATGGCTAGAAAAAATAATATGCTTACTCTTTGTTACCTTTTCTCCCCAATGTCGCTCCTTTCTCCAAATGAATTTTTCACATAAATTTACAGTTTTTTAAAACCTACTACTCATAGTTGAAATTTATTTTACAGTTTGGTGTCACAGCAATATTTTACATGAGCAAATTTCAAACTTTAAGTAAAGTTGAAAATTTAGAAGAAATCCAAAGTTAAAATTTTTAGTAGTGCGTAACTTTTAGGTGACATGCTACTTATTGATATTTTACGTGGAGTAACAGCTCTGTTATGGGTAAAAACACAAAAAATGAAGGCTCTAACTCCTATTCCTCCTTTGAAAAATTACTCTTTCTTCCTCTTCCTTGTTCTACCCTCACCCCTTTCTTTACACACACTTCCACTAACATACATTACTCTACCACATGTCGGGAGATCGGTCTGGAGCTTAGATCTCATCCCAGCTGAGGCAGTGCCTCGCTGGTGGGAGATAAATGGTTGGGGAAAACCCTGCAAGCCTACAGTAGTCAGTGCTGGATCTCTCTATCCAGCGGGGGAAGATATCCACTACCTCCCACAGTAAAAACATGCACTACACTTACGAAATTTTGATCTTAGCAGTTGATGCACCCGGAATCGTCAATCGATCAATCATTTATGTTTGATTGTGTTGCCTGTATCACCCAAATAAAAACATGTTGGGTAGATGTCACTTTGATTTGTAGGCCAGAACTCACTGGATCCAATGTATTTTAGTTTAAAAAGCTGCAACAACCTAGCGCTGAATAATTTTCGAAATGTCTGCAAACACCAAATATGGTGCAGCTCTTAAAACAAATATGTCTGCTGTTTGTGAACTACACACAATAAACATATTTTAAAAATGGTTTTAGACAACCAAAACATTAGATTATTTATGTACAAAATATGAATTTTTTCTGAGATGGTGACCATTTTATTTCTAGACCACTTGAAATGGAATACATTCGTATTCGTGTTTAGCCATTGTATGTCCTGTAAAAGACAATTGAATGGTTTATTTCAGAAACCCGTCAAATGCCAAACTCCTCGTTCCTCAAGAAAACTAAGGAAAAGTGTTATAGCAATGTAGGGTTGGTTTTTCTTAACTGTAAATATTTTGTTTACAAATCTCATTATTTAAAAAAAAAAATGTTTTCTGCAATTAATAACCAGAAATAAGTTGTTTTGATTTGTTACATCAGTTTTTACGAGTATTAATCACTTGTAATGAAATTGTGAGTGTTGCAATTTATTATATTAGAAGAAATGTTTATAAAATAAGAAATTTTGTTTTACACAAACATCTAGAAAATTCGGTCTTGTTATTTCATCTTGAAGTGCAACATCACCATCACTACCTCTTGTTGGCCATACAAAATTTTGTCATAAAATTACTCATAGCTAACCACATAAGGTCTCAGTTTCACCAAATCCTCGATCTTCTTTGTGTTAATTGATACGTACAAGAATTGTAAAATGTAAAACAAACATGTTTAATGAAATATTTGAATATAACCAAAATACTATGGAAGTGCTTTCTTACGCTAAGTAAAAGAAATTCATATTTTATAATTACATATTCATTAACATCAACTGAGCTAAAAATTCGAGTAATTCAGAAATTAGAAGAAGCAGCTGACCCTGGCAATGTAATAATTGTAGAAGATTGTAACTTTACCAACATCAAGGGAAGCACCCTAAACTTCCAATCCAACAGTCATCACAAACAAGAAAATGTGCTGTATTATGTCCTTGAACTCAACAAGATGAGGAACAAGTGAACTGAGTTAATTTTTAATTGTATTTTGACAAACTAATATTTTAATTAAGCATTTAGCTCATGTTGTCTACAGTAACTACATTCCCCTTCTTTTTTTTTTATTTATAGCTCTGTATAGAATACATTGGCACTACTATTATTCCATACATTTTAGCTGACGGAAGTCTGCCGCCTTCAGGAGCCCCCCAGCCATCCCTGGTCAATAAGGTGGCTGTAGACAGTGAAAAAGGCACATGCCTGCAAACAAGTAGTGGCTACGAGGCTCTCGAGCATTCATGATAAATAAATTTCATATAATGAAGTAACTGCTCCCAGTGCGTCTCTGAATTTGAGGCTCTTCAACCACAAGTCACCTCAACTCCTAGGAACATCTATAGTTTGAATGGCATAGTAATTGATGAACAAGTCCTGTTTCACCTCTCAACACTAAAAGGAACCTCATAAATAGGTTCTGACAACATGCATCTCTGTCTGCTGAAAATATATGCAGCCATACGGGGACCTGGCTAATGCAGAAGTCATTTCAAGACTCAACTCTCCTACAAAAAAGTTTGGATGACAAGAGACAACAGTTACCCTAATATATACAAAGAGGACAAACACCAATATAGACTATTGTTTCTTGCTTTGCCCTCAAATCTGTCTAGTCATGTAGTTCATTATTCCATACATATTTCTGTGTCTGCAGTATGTAATGTATACAAGCTCTTCGGTTGCATTTTGCTTACTTTGCTCAGGATATCAATTTGTATTTCTAATAGAGACTTTTAATTTAACGGGTTGACAAGTATTGTGCTAGCAAAAGTCAAGCACTTTGAATTGAATGGTAAAAAGGTGATCACAAAAATCCAATGGTGATGATGCCTTACATGCTTATATCAAATTAACCTGAACAAACAGCTTAGCAGGCTGTCTTGTTAAACTGTAGTACAGTTAATAAGTATTTTTGTTGCGATGTAATAATAAACTCTTTATTACAAAGGTTTCAACAATTGAGACTTAAAAATAGTTCCAAGATGTTTCTCGCTAACTAGCATTAAATGTAAATGGAAATTAAATTTACTTTCTCATTTCTTCAGGAAAGGAACGGTCATCAAATGGATCCTGAAGAAGAAAGAACCCAGTTTTTGCAGCGTGTTCTCCTAGATTATCTTGCTGTAAACGGGCAAAGTGACCAAGCCCTTACATACGCAAGACATTTCTACTTAGCCCAATGGTATCGAGATGCTACTGCTGAAAAAAGTCGACCATCAACCGGTGCAAAACTTTCTCCGAATAAATTGCTGACACGGAAGAGAAAGCCCAAGAAAAAACGAAAAGGTTTGTTAGAAAAAGTAATATTAATGAGGGTGGTATTTTATTTTAATATTATATTTAGTTTTTATTGTGTATTCGATTTAACTTGTCTTTGTAGATGAAAGCTCAGAGGAGGAAATTTCCAGCAATTCTGAAGTGGAAGATGATGAGGCCAAAAATGAAAATGAAACTTCAGAAAACAAAGCTGAGCTCTTTAGACTAATTGAACTACGTAAACAGTTCCTTATTTCTAAAATTAGACCTTTTCATGACCAAGTTGGTGTGGGAAAAAGAGCTGAAGTTCTACAGACCTACATAGACTATGAAAGTGCTGAGCTCATCTCTCGATACCTGGCATCAAAACGACCTTTCTCACAGAGTTTTGATGCCTATCTAAAACAGGTTGGTGAACTACATTTCTTTGACTAGGGATATGAATAAAAAAGCAAAAATGTATTAACAAAATTTTCAATAGTCTGCATGAGCTTCTGTTGTTGTGTGTGTGTGGTTTTTTTTTTTTTTTTTTTTTTTTTTTTTTTTTTTTTTTTTTTTTTTACTCTGTTACTTTCCTGTTCCTTACATTTCTTTTACCATAAGGCCGATTTATTTAAACTTGCTGTCATGGATATTAGTGTTGAGATCAATTTGAAGTGTTTCTTTTGTCATTCTCCCTACACATTTTCAAACGTTGAATTAAAGGCATTTATTTTAAGAGTAATTGCTAGGGTTCATGTTCACCTGAAAAACCTGGAATTGCAAGGGTAAAATTTTACATGGGAAATGCCAGGAAATTAAATGAAAATGCCTGGAAATTTTTGTTATGTAATTAATGTTTTATACAACCCTTTTCATTCACTCTATAACAACATTAACAATTGAAATATTTGGTCATGTGAATAAAAAACTATTATAGTGTGATGTTTTCTTTTACTGTAAAATCACATTTTTAAATTGATATTGGAAGTGAGTGTCATGACCCACTAAATGTAATGTAGATGAAATAGAAATGGCATTGGAAATGCAGGGATAGCAGATTCAGATGACCAATGGGCATCATAAAAGTGTTAAAATAGAGGAATCAATCTCCCTAGACAGCCACAAGTAGAAGTTCTATAACTACATTTTTTTAGTTCAAAATACAGTTAATGAGAAAGGCTTCCAAAAGTAATAAAGGAGACAGGAGTTTTGTCTAGCAGAAGCAAACATTTTAAAAATCTCTATTTGCTCTGTTCAAATGAGGATTTGAAAAATGGGCGTGTCTTCAACTAGAACAAGAGTGTGTTCTGGCATGTGAAGGCTCTCCATTGTCTAGGTGCGTCCAGTGTGTCAAGGGAATTGATGCCAACATTTTATCCTCGTATCGTGGTCTTCAGGGTTGGAGTGTGCCAAGATGGTCGGTGCTCAAGTTTTTTTTATTCTGTGGCTGGGTTGGGCTCAGGATTTGCTTGGCTAGTTAGCCAGCCCATCAGGCATTGGGAGGGAGCTGAGACTGGACGGTATGGAACAATCCGGTCGAGGCAGGACAGACTGTGTGGGGGCGCCCCAGAATCAGATGGGGAAAGTCCACGAGTCCTGAGGTGTGGCTTGAGATTCTCCATTCTGTGCAGTACTGATTGCCATGACGTGTAAGTGTGATTCATGGAGTTGTAACACTCTGTCGCCGTTGATGTTGAGGGGATGTTTGGCAATCTCTGTAGCTTCTTTGATCCAGCTGGGTTACCACCAGTCCTCTCTGGCAAGTTCCATGGTTTCTTCAAAGTGGAAGTTGTGGCCTGTTTCTCATGCTTGTAGAGCTACAGCAGGGCATTGTATGTTCTTGTATTTGAAGTGGCGAATGGGCTCCTTTACTCTTTTCTTCTACTGTTCAGCCTATCTTGCCAATATAATTGCAACAGCAGCTGCGTAGGACAGACTAGACTCGTCATTTGGAAAAGTGGAAGTTGGGCCTTGTCAAAGTTTGTGCTAGCTTCTAGTGCATCCTACCAACAGTCATTCCTCAGAAACATCTTAAAAGTTTGCTAATCCAGTCAGTTATGCCTTTGATGAAAGGGAAGAAAGCTGTTGTCTTGATCTTGATCTTTGTGTTGAGGGGTTCCCTTGGAGTTGGTGAGTCAATGTGAGTTTTAGGGACCATTGGTCATGTTCCTGTTATAGCTGTTGGCAGTGAAAGTTTGTTTCAATATTTCTCATTCTGCGCGGAAATTGTTCTCGTCACAATTTCTTGCTGCACGAATGATGGGAGTTTAAGTATGCCATTCTTTGTCAGTGGATGATGGTGCAATTGAGCATGGAGGTAGCGGTTAGTATGAGTAGGCTTTGTGTGAACCGCATGCCCTAAGCTACCATCGTGTTATGTCTGCTCGCCAAATCATTCAAGAATGCCAGAATATGATGGTCGAAACAACTGCATCAATGCCCTCAATGCGGCATCACCTGAAAAGCCGAAAGCCTTCACATGACACTGGCCACAGAAGCGTACGATTGTAGGTGTTCCAGCATGCTCTCATGTTCACTATATCCTGCAGATCAGTGTTGATCACAGTGATTTATCTTAACCCTTTAACTGCTATGGGCCGGCCCACTTTGAGTCACGTCACTTGCATCAAACTTCTTGCTGCAGGCCCCTTTGTGAGCTGAGCACGTTTCCACATAGATATCATGTAAGACATCTTCCGTTATCAGTCCTAGCAATAGCTGAAAGCACGTCTGCATAAACGAACTCATTCAGAGGCTCCCAGGGCATTGCGGTTTTGCGAACGATCTCATCCAGAGGATCCCCATTAAAAACTGAGCATATTAACTCGTCCAGAGGCTACCACACGTGGAAATATTTTGCGTATCAACTCATCTAGAGCAGTCAAAAGGTTAATAGATATGCATGTCCACCGGAAGGTCACCTTGCGTGTAGTTTGTATTGCTTCTGAAAGTCTCTACTTCCAAAATGGTTTATTGATCTGATAATATAACTAAAATTAACCACACACAAACATGTTGCAAAACATAATAAATAAAAAATAATTTCTACTTTATTAAAGAAATGTTGAAATCACAATTATGAACTAGAAAAGTTTTGCATCCGTTGTTGAATTTGGCATGGTGCTGACTGTTGAGGTGACAGGGAGTGCTGAAACAATTTCTGCGAAGATTTTATTCATATACATGGGGGGGGAGTGAATTGCGGGTGGCTGCTAAGTTGATTGTGGTCACGCATATTGGTGTCTCAATGAGCAATGATTATTGAGCAATCAGTTGTTTTTGGAGTGATGTAGAAGTAGAGTGCCACGAAATGGCTTTACTATGCAGCGGAACAGAAGAAAAACATTGGGAAAGTAAGCATATAAAACTTGACAAGTGTACTAAATGCTTTTGTAACGCTATTAAGTATTCTTAAAATTATGTGCTGTATAAAATATTCTTAACTGTCAACATCTGAACAGTTTCACAGAAATAGGAAGTGATGATTACAATGTGTATTTTGAATGCCTACAATATTTGCTTCCCTGGTTACTTGGAACATCCTTTTTCTTTTATGAGTGGAGAATTGATTTTAAGAATGCTCAAATTGTGGCAGACATATATATTACATGCCTGATTAAATGGCATGATTTTGCAAATAAGCAAGGATCAGATTTGTTTCTGTTTTTAAAGATTATTTCTAAATAAAGGACTGACTGTAACCAATGACACATGTTAACACTTTTAGTTCTGTGCCCTAGTGTATGTAGTGTGGGCTACAGTTTCCATCCCAGTGGACAGAGCCCAAATACAACTAAAGTAATACATATAACGAGTTGTTTTCTTTTTTTCCCCTATAACAAGCAATGTTTAGTCATTTGTTACATGGGAAAACATTGTCAGGCTCCTCATGTTCTTCTGTGTATACAGGATGGCTTAGAGCATACCACCACAGAAGCAAAATATCTATATGGGTTCTATTTCTTATATTTATTCTGTGCAGAGACTACCTCAGCATTTTGCTCAGAGGAAGGTCTCGGTATGACAATTGAACCGTTGATTTTTGCTCGTAGGACATCGCGTCTCTCTGTCAGCTGAGTATATATTGACTCCAGTCACAGAAATCAATCACTTTCATCTTTATTTTGTGTTTTAATATTATATTTAGTATGTAGAAATTTTTCCTGACAAAATATTTAGTGTTGTATTCAAATTAATAGTGTGCAAGTTTCATTATACATCTCAAGTCAATATTGTTTTCTTTGGTTAATTTAGTTTTATTTCCCACTAATATCACCTATCTGTAATTATCTCTTGATTTTAAAAAATCCTTAAAACGAGTCAAAATTTGTACCCCATTCATTTCAGAGTCCATGTTCATTTCCGCTATTGCTCAAAATTTTTACCATGTTCTGTTATGTAATTACCAGAACTGTAGAATTAACATGGTGTTAAAGGCTCAGGACTGAAATTGTTACCATGCTCAGAAGTACAAAATATTTTATTTTATAGTATAGTATTAAATGTATATACATTTATATTGATTTTTTTTTAAATTATGAGAGAAATCTACAGCCAGTCATTAAATGCCTCTTTTGCCTTATGCCTATTCTACCTATATGATGTCTCCATTAAGAAACTTCTTCCTTTTGATTATTTGTTGACTCATCTTTGCAAAAGAGAATAATGCTAATTTCATCATCCTTTTATAATAGGTAATCAAAAACATTTTTAAATCAATTTCTTTGTAGTTTTTAGAAGTACTTGAGGTTATTTTTCTCCTTTCTTTTTTACAGATATTGTGTGTTCTTACGGAGAATTCAATTGCTATTCGTACAAAGGCCATGAAGTGTTTGACTATGGTGGTTGAAGCTGATCCAGCTGTCCTGGCCAGAGCTGACATGCAGAGAGGTGTTAGCCATTCGTTTCTGGACCATTCCACTTCTGTCAGAGAGGCTGCAGTAGATTTAGTGGGTAAATTCGTATTGAGCAGGCCAGAGCTGATTGACAAGTATTACGACATGCTCTCTGCAAGAATACTGGTATGTGTTAAATTTCAAGAAAATCGGTATGCTTTTTTAACTTATGCTTTTGTGTACTTTTATTTTTACATACAGTTTTATAAATTTTGTTTGTGTTATTGAAATTGTGGTGTTGCTAATATATGATGACAGTTTAAAAATACAAAACAAAAAAGACAACTATTTGCTTTGCAAACAAGCCATTCATGTGGTTCGTGTTTATTATGAAATTGATAATAGAAATTTTGAATTTTAATGTACAATTACCAGGATGACCTTTTTTGCAAATTGCAAAGGAAACTAAAGCATGGAAATTACACTTGGAAAGCACTTAGGAATGGCTTTCCTTGTCAAAAATTTGCACTTGGCTTACAGCTGTACCCATGCAGAAGAAAATGATATGTTGATGAGATTCACTGATACACTAGGTAGTTAGGGTCTTTATGGTAGGGTAGTAAATGGGTCTTTTAAAATGCAATATGCAGTATTCAACAAAATTATGTAAAGTCTCTTTTTAAATCAATCAGATGCAATAATTATCACTTCTAAGGAAGTGATAATTAAAATATAATTTTACACAGGTAATTCTTCTCTGATTGGTTTGTATGGTTTGAATTTCTACACCAAAAGGCTGAAATTTCATATGTGAAATAGGCTGTGTAACAAGTAGTAATGAATGATATCTTTGATACATAAAAAGCGTTGTTAATGAAATCTTTCATTACTAATATTCAAATGCCAACTCACATTGCCAATTATCCATGTAAACTTTCTGTGGAGAAAATGTTATTAAATGCACATTATTTAAATGAATGAACTCAATGTTTAGAATATTACTATAAAAACAAATTAAGACAAAAAGAAAACTAATCTCAACTTATGTTAATTATCACGCTCAATCTCAACTAACTGTTAATGGTCACGCTCTTTCTCTCTGCTTCCCATGGTATCACTACACACAGGCACACGCGCAGTGTATACTGCCTGCTCCTCCTTAAAAGTTCTCCTTATTTCCGATTCCCCTCATACTGCATCTATTCCTCAGCAATAATGCCTTGAAATTCGTGCTCATTCTCCCACCTTACCCAATGCCCAAATGAAAACTATTTTGCTTGGTAATTGAATTAGTCTTAAAATGATATTGATGACTATTTTGGAATGATAATTGAATTCGCCTTTTGCATTGTTATAGTCAAAGATAATTTTTTTATAGTTTATTCTTTTAATTTCAAATAAGATATTAAAATGAAAATATTCTCATCTTACTTGAATACTATTGACTGCCAAAGGTGAATTAACCAGGTTAGATAAATACTATCTAGCAAAGTATGTTACAATCAAAGATTCTGCCCCAAAATAGAAGGGACTCCCTAGCCCCACACAACAAAAAAATGTTTTTTACTGTTGTTTTTAAATTATTTTTTTTATTATTGCTGCTGATTTATGGACCACAACCCAACTCTATCTCAAATGTTATCTTACATTCCTAAAATCTATATATGCACAAGTTACACTAAAAACAAAGAACATGACATTACAACGCCAACAGTATGAATCTACTTAGAAAATACCTCTAAAATTGTCAGAGGATAATTTTGTTAGATTCAAATTTGTAATACAACTGTCTAAGGAATGTAAAATGAAGAAAATCTATTTAGAAACTACAAATATTTTTTTATTTCAAAGTATAAAATCATTGACAAATTTTTATTTGTTTTATGGAAATTGAAATGTCCACTTTACAAAAAGATCACAATTATCAAACTAAATTATCATAAATATCTAAACAAATATAACACAATTACCAGAAAGTATCACAGTCGTTACAATTATCACCGTTATAACTACAATTGAACTTAAAATGCAAATTTTTCATTGTGTAATTCACATTCTACAATGTGGTGGCCACTGTGATTGTGGCCTTCTTGTCTTGTGTTGTGGTTCACTCAGTCAAAACATTAAAATATGAATAAAACATCCACATGCACAAAGTCAGTAATGCATTAACATTACAAAACACGCAATTCAACTATACAAATACATTATGAATGTATATTTGCATCGTTTTTTTATGGTAGTCAATTATCCCTTATATGAAACAGATAATTTAATGTTTGGGGTTACTTTACGTTGAGCCCTACAACATTTTCAAAATGTTTGCAAATAGCACAAAATATACTTATAAAAGTGGCAACGGTCTGATTTTGATCTCCCTGCCACAGGTGCCTTATATTAGATTAGACATTTTTTCTTAATGAAATATATCCTTTAAACTTTGACATCTAATTAACGTTTAATGTATTTTTTGAAAATATAAGGAATATGTGCATAATTGTGTGAGTAATCATGATAGATTTAAAAAAATACATAAATAAGATTTTTCATATAAATGTTCCAAATGTTTTCTCTAAACTTTATGCTAATTAATTAGTCAAATGAATCAAACAGAACCAATTAATCAAAACTTCAGTACTAATATGGCATATGTACTATTTTCATTGAAACTTCTGGAATTGTGAAAATTTTGAAATTTTACATTTTTTATCCTATTCTAACCCTTCGTTATTGAAAGTAGAAATCTCTTTGTTCATACAATCTATTCCTGAATATTAGATCTTCAAATCATATTGTGTAAATTTTTTTAAAAATACTAGTAGTTTTCATGTAATCTTGTGTTATGTGGAAGAATCACCACAAATTCAAAAAATTGTTATAACGCAATAAATATAGTCTTTTACACTTCATATTAGCATAAGGGTAGCCTAAGATTAGTATAAGTCTGCAAGCTTATCATGCACAGTGCTCAGGTTTGGACCCCAGCCTGAGTAATTTAATTTCTTTGCCTTTTTTGTAAGAATAAAGCATTACAGATCAATTTAATGGTAAAAAACCAGTTTCATTTAAGTTTCTGAATTTTCAAAAATTTAAAGATATTTTTGTTTTTGGACTACTCACTCGGCTCATTTGCACTCTCTCATTTGGTTGTGAGTTTATGAACCGAGGATCAAAGTGTTAGTGAGAAAAAAGTTGCAATATTATAATATTATCTAATGGTTACCAATAATATGAGAAAGTATGTACTGTTGGGGCCCCACTAGTTAAGTATGTTATATCACTCAGAAAAAACATAAATAAAACTTGGGTATAGTTTGCATGCAAAAATGTGAAAAATATTTTTCCTAAAGCAGTACAACTGAAATTGATAGCTAATTTTCAGCGTAAGCAGTTTAAAAATTCTGCCAAAATTGAAAGAATTTATTATTGAGTCTTTCAAAGCAATTTTCATTCATTTCAGACATTAATACTTTAGGGTTAACTGAAGAAGAAATAACTTCCCTAAAGATGTTGGTTTATTTCTATAAAATTGAGATGGAGTGCTGAAAATACAGAAAGTAGCTTTTTCTTGGTCCCAAACATATTCCAAATGGAATTGTGCCACATGTGTGTGCATTTTTTACCACCTTATTCCATTGTACCCTTTGATAATACAGAAACCAAACTTGGGATGGGTGAAGCAATTTTGGTTTAATTAAAGTTACCCATAATATTTTAAAAGATAGTATATTTCATGAGTCAGCTGAAGTGCATTTAATAAAACCTAACATTTGATGTGAATTGTATATAATCGGTATGTTTATCATAATCTAAGTTCCTGATTAAAGATGTTTCCAAGGTGTTTGAACTTAAGAGACAACTCTTAAATTATGGTGTAGTGAACTTAATGAAGCAAGAGTTTTTAAGGTTTCTGCCATGATTTGGGGGAAAATCTGGGTTCAGTCAACATGCTACTAGAACGTATGATTTAATTTATTTCAAAGGGAGCATTTATTTCAGCGTTAGTAGCTAATCTATTTACATCATTATGTCCATTCTTTAAATTAAATGTAATCAGGCAAAATTGATCAAAATTTTAAATTAACAGTTGCCATTTCATAATCCCAAATGAGAAAAGCTTTTGGAATAAATAAAATATTTAAGAATTTTGTTTGGTAATTTTAAAATTTTTATTTATTAATAGTTGTCAATAAATTATTTTCATTTTCAGGACACTGGTGTGAGTGTGAGGAAGAGAGTTATAAAAATTCTTAAAGATATTTGCATGGAGTGTCCGGAATTTCCCAAAATTCCTGAAATTTGTGTTAAAATGATTCGTCGAGTGAATGATGAGGAAGGTATGTTGGCATTGCATGGTAGATATTGTTGCCTGCAAATGGTTGACAAGAATGTCAAATTCTTATCGGTTTGCTTTTTCTGTGAACAGGTATAAAGAAACTGGTCATGGAAGTATTCCAGAACATGTGGTTCACACCTGTTCGGGAACGTGGTCCTGGTAACTCATCTGCATTACTAAGAAAAGTGATGAATATAACAGATGTTGTTGCGGCGTCTCGTGATATGGGGTTGGAATGGTTTGAGCAGTTACTTCTTAGTGTGAGTTCTTGCAAAAATGTTTATATTACCATAAGTATTCATACAGTATATAGATGCAGAAGCATGCAAATATCTTGGTAAATAGTCACATATACCAATGAATTATGTATTGTTCTATGAAATTGTTGAATTTATATTAAATTCTCTGACTTATTATCTGATGCTGTCTAGATATGCTTCAAATGTTCATTTTCAATGTCTATGCATTTATGTGCAAATTATGATATAATTTATTAATAATGATGTATTTATTTCTAGCTATTTAAACCCAAAGAAGATAAAGATGATGCTACTACCAAAGCACACCCAGAACCTCCAAGAGCCTTACTAACTGCTTGTAAACAGATTGTTGATTGCCTTATTGAAAATGTGTTGCGGTTAGAAGAAACTAGTTTTGGACCTGATGAAGAAGGTCGTGGCTCTTCACAACGCTTAGTGGCATGTCTTACTACTTTGTATCTTTTTGCAAAGATTAGGCCACAACTCCTTGTTTCACATGCCATAACTTTACAACCGTATCTGAGTGTCAAGTGTCAGGTGAGTGTCAACATCTAAACTGGTTTGATGAACTTTCAACTTCATACTAATTCTTTAGAGAATGCATTTGGCTCTGTATGCTAAGTAGTATAACCTTTTTGTGTGTGTCTGATAAATCTTCAACTAATAAATGCTATGTAATGTGAAAGGTGTTCGAAATTTACTGTAATGTTTCTTGTTATTGACTATAACATGCTCTAAAATAAAGAAAGAAATAATTGTTTAATCATGTGCACTTTGTTTCAGACGCAAGGAGATTATCAAATAATTAGTAGTGTGGCACGTACTTTGGAATTGGTTGTTCCATTGATAGAACATCCTAGTGAAACCTTTCTTGCCCAGTTAGAAGAAGATTCTGTTAAATTGATTCTCCAACATGACCGATCAGTGGTGCAGAGTTGTCTGTCATGTCTGGGCTCAGTTGTGAACAATGTTACCAGAAATTTCAAATTAATAAGGGATTGTTTTCAGAAATATTATGGTATGGTAGTATTTTCTAGAATTGCATATCTTTATTATTTTAATACTAATGTTCACGTACTAATTTGTAATTTTTGGTGTATTATAGGTCATTTGTCAGAGTATAAGAAGCTTTATGAAAAAGATCCAAATAATCCTCTTTTGATTAAATACCGTCCATATTTTAGAAGATCTCTTTTTACTGTTGGCCTGTTACTAAGACATTTTGATTTTACAGATAAGGATGTTATCAAAGGATTACCGGTAAATAAAGTAAAATTTGCGGTTGTTTACATGTTGTGAGCCCACAATAATGGTTTTCTTCTGTTTGTTAAGGAGAATGTGAAGGATCAAGTGTTCGAAACATTGGCTTACTTTGTGCAACAACCTAATGAAGATATGCAGACGTATACCCTTAAAGCTATTGGTTCTCTTTGCATAAGACATTATGAATTTATGCTAGGACCAGAACTTAAAACTCTTTATCATAGACTTCTCACATCTGATGATGCACCGTTGATGATGAGAACTCAGGTTTGTAAAATTTTGTGCAAGTGCTTTTTGTTGCTACTGCCGTCAGCTTAGAATCCAAGAGATAAACTTCCAACATTCTTACTATTTCTAGAATATTCATTGAGGTGGTATTATTGGTTGTATAAATGCTTCTCATTGTCGCATACTCGCAGTTCTTTTGACTGGCATCTAGCCAACTGTGAAAATTAGCTTTATGAACAATTTGCATCTCGGAGATACACCATGCTTACTCACATACTTTATATTTCATTATAATGCGTGTAAAATGATCTCAAAATATTTAATAATCAGGATTACTATTATTATTATATCTTAAATCACAATCAATTTATTTGTTTATTTACATAACAGGCTTATTTGCCCAAATGAAATAATACACTACTCATAGTTGACGTACATACAGAAGTTGAATGTAGGACATGGTGAGAAATATTGAAATTAATAATATTACCAAAAATCAAAGTACAACTAATGATGTTACAAATTAGTAATAAATAATTCTACTAACTAAAATCCAATATTCTTTGTTTCAAACATCTTGCAAATCTTGCCTCACTCATACCTAATTATTCATCGCTCTAATATTCATTGCTATATCTTGTTATACGAGGTATTGATGAACAATAGTAATTTTGTGTTTTGCAAAACGTTTCTTTAAATAAAACATTCCTTCTTATATTACATGGATTATTGTAGTGAACAAATAAATTTCTTAATTTTGGACAATCAATTTTAGTATTGAAAAGACATACGTTTAATGTTCATAAATTTATTGTCCTTTAATACTCGTGAGGATTGTAAAGACGGTAATGTAGTTTTCAGGGAAATGTCTGAATAATTATGGGAATAAATTGACGTTGAAGTTTTAATCTTGAATGATGCATATCTGAAAAATCTGTTGTACACTCTCTAATTAATTTAATACAAAATTCACACTTGAAGTGCATACTACTGAGCAGTACATCAATTTTGATTTCACTAATGCATTATAGAAATTCAATATTGTATCAAGTTGTTTAAAGCATGATGTTTGTCTTTTCATAAAACCTATGTTTTAAATACTCATTAACTATATAATTAACTTGATCATAAAATAGCATTTATGGATCCAACATTACTACTGAATTTAATTGATTAATTTCTTCAGTCTCTTCTATCATGACATCTCCAATCAAATACAAATTCTCAACTTTATTATTACCTTTAACACATCTTAATAATTTACACTCATTATAATTCAATAGGAGCTTAATTTCAACACACCGTAAGTTAAGTTTGTCACTGTTTTTCTGTAAAAGTTTAGAATCTTCTACCTCATTAATAATTCCCCAAAATGTATAATCATCTGCATATAATAAAAAAGAAGAGTTCTCCAAATCATTTATTGTAGCGTTTATGAAAATTATAAACAAAATTGGTCCCAAGTGAGACCCGTGTGGGGCTAATGATGTTATATTAATTTCAAGAGATTAAAAATCTCTCTATTTTTCTGGCCTTGTTCTATTACTTATTATTATTATTATTATTATTATTATTATTATTATTATTATTATTATTATTACTACTCAAATAACTTCTCAACCATTCCTCGGAAAATCCTTCAAAACTTTATGGAAATGCATGTAAATTACATCTATTTTTTTACCCTCATCAAAGTACTTTTTCACATCATTAGTAAATAGCAGTAAACTTATTGTTGTTGATTTACTATTTACAAAACCATTTTGTTGTTCTATAATATTATTTTTTAATTGAGGTTTCAGGGTATCTAATAGAATGTTTTCGAACACTTTTACAACATTAATTAAGATACATACAGGTCTATAGTTTGTGATATCATTTCTCTTACTGAACTGTTTTTACTTTTAATCAGCCTTCTTGGTACGTATTTACCAAAAATTTCACTTATTTTCAAATAGAAAAAAGCACATGTATCTTCCAAGGAGAGAGTATCCATTACCACCCAGTTCACTTTTGTTAAGTCATTCATAATTAAATCAGTTTTAGCAAGCCGGTAATTAAATACAGGAATCGCACAAGTAATATCTGATTCAATTTCAGATTTTAGATTTAATTCAATTAGTAAAGCTGGATTGTATTTATCGCATTTAATTATTGGTCCTATTATCTTACTAATCTTGGAATCTGTGTGCAAATCCCTATGGTATGAAGAAAACATAGATTATAAATATGAGGAATATGAAGAGAACAATTCATCTCTTCAAAATCAGTAGAATAGAATATAAGGAATTGCAGGAAGCTCTACAAAGTTGTAAAAATCAAAAAGCCCCAGAACAGACAGTATTAATACCTCCCAGAAGAAGCCCTAAGCAAATTACTAGATTTCTTAAATCAGTTTTGGCAGGTGCAAAAAATACTAACTGAATGGAAGAAAGCATTAATAGGGCCTATATAAGAGGCTCACAAATAGAATGAAAAAACTAATGGGGTATAAGTTTGTGGAGTATGGCATTCAAAATACACACAAATTGTAAATAGGCTCAGAAACATCATAGAAAATGTATTGTTGGAAGAACAATAAAAATTTAGGAGGGGATGATCTTGCTCAGACAGTATTTTCTTCCTTTAGCAAAGCATAAGATAGAGAAGAGAATACAATTTGAAGACCTACAGTGCTTTTATTAATAGAAGTAGAAGTAAATTGTGGAATATATTGGAGGAAAGAGGAGTACCACTATCGTTAGCATTATCTGTAATTGTATGCAAGTCTCCAGATCAACATAAAACTAAGCTCATGACACCTTCTAGAAGAAACTGTTAGCAAAGGGGTTAGACAAGGATATTGTATTTCACTAATTCTTTTTAACATATACCTTAACTACATTGTAAGGGAGTGGATGCAATTGCTTGTACTCTTTTATATTGAAGACAACTTCAAAGGGACAAATTTTGTTAAAACCCTTTTATTTGCAGACAACCAGGATTTGGTTGCTCATAATGAAGACAATCTATAAAGAGCCTTGTACAAATTGTTCAAAACAGTAAAGCTCTACAATTTGCATATATCTTCCTGCCAGATTTGAGTCCTTGGCTTTCGAAGGTTTTCACTCCATTCAATGAAAGCTTGTTTTAGAAGATAATAACAAGTAAATACTTTTAGATTTCTAGGTTGTGACTTACCATACCTTGGAGAACTTGAAGTTGAAAGAAAGATCGAGAGATACAACCTTATGTGTGGCATCACTAAAAGAATACTTAGAGGTAATGTTCAAAAAGATACAAAACTGAAATTTTTCAAAATTATGACAGTGCCTTGTGGCCTGTATAGAGGTGAAAACTGGGTTCAGATATACCCGCAGCAAAGTTCCGGCAACTGAAATATGAATTGAGGCCATCTAGGAGTAACAAGAAGAAATAGATCGAAAAGTGAGACCGTCTGGGCAAACATTGGAATTTACAATTATAACTACAAAAACAAAGAATATAGAAATAAATGAAAAGACTATGTATTAAAAATGGAAAATAATCATATACCTAGGCAACTCAAGGGAAAAGCAGAAATAAGATATGAAGTAAGAAGAGAGTAAGATACCTTTGTAGACCCAAATAAAGATGGAGTGATCAATGAATCACAACAGACCAATAGATGTAATGCCTGCTAGAGATGAAAGAGAAGTCAAATAAGTTTATTCTTTAAAACAACTTCACTCTTTCATTCGTAAATAGATTTTGTCCAGGTTTGCCATCTCTCAAATACCACTGGAGGAGGATTGGCTAGTTATCTGACCCAAGGTGAAATAACTGATCTTTGCAACCATATTTACAAAGTTACTCCGTGAAACTGAAAGGTGCTGTATCCTGGATGCACGCCTCACAGGAAACATTGAATTCATGATTTTTGTCAGCATTTTGGAGTCCTTAAATGGAAACTCATCAGCCTGTATTTTTACACAAGGGCACAAGTGAATTAGCTCCAAATCCATAATAAATATTTCACAAATCCTTGGACACTGATTTTCTTCCAAAAGATTGGAAAGTGTCATTGTGAACTCCAGATAAAAAAAAAAAGAGCCAAGATCATGACCCCCTTAAAAATTGTCCCATGAGCCTCTCGAGCATAATTGGTAAAGTTACAAAACAACTATTGACAAAGAAAATACTTGAGCATGTACTAAATGTGGTGGTCATTCCTCCAGCGTAAAATGAATTTGTCCCTGGTAGAGAACTATAACATCAAACCTTCTTGCTCAGTCAAATGGATTAGAAATGTGAATAGAAAATGGCCAATAGGCATAATCACTTGGGTTTTTCTGATATATCAGAATGTGTATATATGTATGTATATATATGTATGTATATGTATATGTATGTGTATGTATATGTATGTATGTATATATATATATATA